TATATAAAAATGAGATTCATGCCCTCACCTAGTCTTCGTGAATTTGCTTATTTTCTATGTATGTTTTTCTTGAAGGACTGTTCAACTTTAGAAGAATACAACATTGCTGCAGCATTACTGCCCCTGACAACTGCATTCTACAGAGTAAGTTTTTACTGGTGTTAATTTATGTTGATTAGTGTTTTCTTATATATGTTTACATTTATTTAGATCAAACTGTGGGTTGGAGTCCCATGTTAATGGGTGTTCCAGAGATGACTTCCTGGAGTCAGACCTTAAACCCAATGATTTCAGCCCTGTGTGGCAGAGCTTAAGTTTCAGCATCAGCACTGGGCGGCAGGGCTCAGGTTGCAGGTCCCCCACCCAGGCTGAAGTCCTTGGCTTTTGGCTTTGGCCCCCTGCCCTGTTACAGTGGGGTTTGTGTGGGCTCAGGCTTTGGTCCCATTTGAGGGGGCCATGTATTAATTTTTATTGTCAGAATTGAGAACCAGTGATTTAGATCACTGAGGATACATCTACACAGCAGAGTTATTTTGGAATAACGTCGACTATTCTAAAATAAAGTTATGTGCTGTCTACACAAGAAGCCTGTTACTTTGAAATAAATTCAAAATAACTGGCTTCTTACTCTGACTTCCTCTAAATCTCATTGTACGAGGATTAAGGAAATCAGTGGAATAGCAATTTATTTCTAAATAAGTGTTGTATAGACAGTGCCAAATTTCAAAACAAGCTACACAATTTGCATAGCTCAAATTGCATAGCTTATTTTGAGGTACACACTGCTGTGTAGATGTACCAAAAAAGACTGGCACTAAAAGGATGGAAGTAATGACAGGCATAAACCTAAACAGTAGGAAGCCAATTAAATTCAGAGTGTCTTTTAGTGAATATCAAGCCCAGAATGAGGGGGGAGATATTTGGCCCGGAGGTTCTGGCTAAAACAGAGCAAATAATTGATTTTCAGTTTGGAGAGTGGGCTGAAATGTCAAAAAAAAATTCAGTTCATTTCTAAAAATGTGTGTCAGCAAATCAGAAAAAACTATTTTGCGTTGTTCAAAAATTTGTTATTACTGTCAGCGTCATATGTATTGGCCAGGCCTACAGTTATCTAGTGGAAGTGTTATGAGACGATGGATGTTGAAAAGATGATGATTTTCCACGTTTCTGACCTGAACTGGAAAACTAAGAAATCTGACTGTCACTTGCGCAAACCAGATGTTGCTGCATAATAGAAAAAGAATTTTGTTATTCACAGTTCTAACCCTTAGGTTAAGTGACTGTCCCTGTTGTATGCCTCATAAGACCCACATTCCTTGACAAAAATGCAGAGCAGTTTTTATTTGGGTTAGATTTTTCATACAAAATTAAGAGTTAATTTAGTTGTAAAAAAATGTGTAGTATGTGAAATCAGCAGGGGAACTTTTGGAGGGTGTACGTACAAGGATTCCATTTGGAGTTGAAAAATTAATAGACCTTTTAAAACATATTTCAACTTCTTTAGACTCTTTCAAAATGTATTCTGGACTAGAACAAATAGGTCTCAGCCTTTCCTGGGTCTTTGACAAGAGAACACTATAGGGGAATTCTTCTTAGGAAGAAAACATACTTAATGGGTGTGGTTCGTTAGACTATGGGATGGTTTTCCAATGAAGGTGGTAAAACTTCCATTCCCTGAGACATTTAACAGTATACTGAAAAATCATTAAAAATATATTGTAGAGAACAAATTTGCCCGGGCATTGTGTGAATAGAATGATCTAATAGTTCTTTACAATATCTTGATGTCTCCAATCATGAGAAGTTTACTCTATGGGGTTACTATATGTATTTAATTAAAATAGCAAGATAGCTAATTTTAGCTTGCAGCATAGTATGGCTTTGGCTTTTGGGATGTCCAGCAATGTTCCCTCTACTTTTTTCCAACCATGTGCAGAATAAATGTTTATGTGCACCGAGGCATGTGTGAATGTGCACCACCAGTAGACACACAAAAACCTATCTGTAGGCATTCTGCTAATCAGCTAGATAGCATTTAAGTCTCTTCTAAGTGCCCGCACAAGTGCTCAGCTTATAGGGACCACTGATGTCCAGTAAAATTCCAGAATTTAACTAGTTAGTACCCAGAGATTAGGGTACTGGGAAACTTGATAGTACACGATATAATTGCAGAAGTATACTAATTCATAGTTGGCAGCATTAATTTCATAGACAAGTCAGTACAGTATACATACTTTCAGGCTGGAAAACGCTTTACATTTTTTCTATGAAAAAATCTCAATACTTTTGAAAAACATTTAATGTAATAACCATACCTTATTAACAATGTGTGACTTACGAGTCGAGCAGTCGTCTTTATTGTGTTCTGTAATGTCATGTAAGCAAAAAAATCTTTTGCCTCTGGGTCAGAAAGGGCTTTAACTTACCATTAGTAATACTTACGGAATTTTGTTTACATTTTAAACAATATAAATAGATAAATAAGCAGACATCTTCTGTTTGTTCTTTATTTGTTTTTTAGTATAGGGAGGTATAAAACAAAAATTATAGATGTTTGTTGATAGATGAAGTATTTCGTTTAACTGGCTTCTGTGAAGAATGCTACGGCATGTGGGTTATTTTCCTTTCCTTTTTCGTAACATTTGTCATAACAAATGTTTCATAACATTTCTTAACATTTTCTGGTACCTTAAATTTTTAAAGTTCTTCACAAACATAAAAGTTCAAAACAACTACCGTAGAAATCAAGACAAATGAAGCCTCAATTAATTACTATTTTAATTAATTCATTTATGTTATATTTTTCCTCTTTTTATGGGCTTTCCTTCCTATGAATTAGGAATATAAATACTGTAAGAAGTTCCATGACAAATATTATATTGTCTTTGGTTATTTCAAAGTGACAGTAAGTTCAATGGGGTGAAAATCTTTTCCACAGAGGCCTATAATTTTACTTCCTAAATGTAAACTGTAGTTCAGCTTTTCTGATTAAGAAGGCTAGTAAACAGCTTTCTTCAAATCTGACAACTCTTACGCTTTTCTACTAACTTTTGCCACTACAATTAATTAATCTAATTTCCTTTTGTGAAGGTAAAAAGCTTCACCTGACCTAAATGAACCTGAGGCTCAGAAACCCAAAACTGCTTTGAGTAACAACACACAATATTCTGAATTTTTACCATCCTTTCTGAACTAACTCTAATACAAACATAAATTGGATATTGTAGTAAACTAGCCCACAAAACAGTAAAACTTTTATACATTTCAGTATTTTTAATTTTTCTAAAATCTTACAACATTCGCATTGAAAAAAATTAAAATTTCAAGACGATATTTGTCTCATTGTTACCTGAGTCCTGTTTTGGGGTTGTCTTTGTACTGAGTTTTATTTGGAGCTCATTATTTCTGGGGGCCAAATTCTGTTTTAATGTATACTTTCAGGTCTCCTATCAATTAATGTATCATATCAGTTGGCAAAATTTACACCTGTGTAGAGGACCAAAAAAAGCTCTATGTATCATTTAAATCTACTGTAGGTAATCAAAATAGTGCTTCAATGGTGTATGTAATTTGCGGTGAATTTCACTGCACAGGGGTGAATTTCACCCACATATACTGAAGTTATTCATTTAAAGCCTAAAAAAAAGAACTTAGGTGAACAAGAAATACTGATCAGGATTGAAATACAGTTATGGGGATGCATTGTGAATTGAACTGTATTGATTTTAACTTTAATGAAGGAGGTGCTTCACCTCTCCCAAAATACCATGCATTTACTTGACTACACTGCAATGTTAAGTAGCCTTATGCTAAATAGCCAATATTCTGGATTTGCTCACTTCATCTCAACTTCTCAGATTCAGTCTATCTTGAAACTCTCTTACTTTCCCCACCGTAAGAGGATACTCTTCAATGTGTAACACAAGCCAGTTGTATGCTACAATACAAACTATACAAAAGAAAAATAGTAATTGTAAATATAGAAGTGCAGCATGGTAAGCAGCTACTCCCGGGGGGGCAGTGTGAGGCAGCAGGGCCCTTTCTTCCAGCAGCTATTGCTCTCTTGTTACCCCCTCTGCCCATGCTCCTTTGTGAGTATAACTGTCCCCTCTGATTGCTGCCCCCTGTAGTCATTGATGAGAATAACTGTCATAGAATCCTAGGGCTGGAAGAAACCTCAGGAGGTCATCAAGTCCAGCCCCCTGCCCAAGGCAGGACCAACCCCAACTAAATCATCAGCCAGGGCTTTCTCAAGCCGGGATTTAAAAACCTCTAGAGATGGAGATTCCACCACCTCCCTAGGTAACCCATTCCAGTGCTTCACCACCCTCCTAGTGAAATAGTTTCTCCTAATATCCAACCTATACTTCCCCCACTGTAATTTGAGACCATTGCTCCTTGTTCTGCCATCTGTCACTACTGAAAACAGCCTCTCTCCATCCTCTTTGGAACCTCCCTTCAGGAAGTTGAAGGCTGCTAGCAAACCCCCCCTCACTCTTCTCTTCTGCAGGCTAAATAAGCCCAAATCCCTCAGCCTCTTCTCATAGGTCATGTGCTCCAGCCCCCTAATCATTTTGGTTGCCTTCCGCTGGACCCTACTCAATGCGTCCACATCTTTTCTGTAGTGGCATGCCCAGAACTGGACACAATACTCCAGATGTGACCTCACCAGTGCTGAATAAAGGGGAATAATCACTTCTCTGAAGTTGCTGGGATTGCTCCTCCTAATGCACCCCAATACGCTGTTGACTCATATTCAGCTTCTCATCCACTGTAATCCCCAGGTCCTTTTCTGCAGAACTGCTGCTTAGCCAGTCAGTCTCCAGCCTATAATGCTGCTTGGGATTCTTCTGTCCCAAGTGCAGGTCTCTGCACTTTTCTTTGTTGAACCTCACCTCCCCTCTCTTTCCATTTGATGCAAAACAATCGTATTCCATGCATATCCCATATTCCCGGCACAACCAGATCCTGACCTTGCTTTAAGTTAGGACGAGAGGAAGCTGCACACCAAATTTGGTGGTCCTAGCTGCTATCACTTAGGAGGAGTTTTTTAACAAATGGACTGACAGATGGACAGACACACGCAAACTCTCTAAAATATAAAGTGGATTTTGGATGTTTTTCTACATTTTCAAAATTATTGA